TGAAAAGAAGAATACTACCAGAGGCTTTGAAGATTTGTTCTTTTGAAAATCTTATATACACTAATATATAACTAAATATAGACAATTCTAGTTGTTTAAATTCTTTGACCTTGCATATTCAGCTAAAAAAAAATAAGAAAAAGTCACTTTGTTTTTATTAATCTTTTCTAGTATTCCACAGGGTCAGGAAGGGGAACAACTTCGAAATGTCAATAAACAATTAGATGAATTACCCACTAAGCGCAGGAATAGTAGAGCTGTTGACAATTTCCATATATCTGGGGCATTTTAAAAATACAAGTTAATACTAGATGTTACAAATGATAAATACATGACTAGTTAGAATAATCTGAGATCGAGAATGTTCTAGGAGAAATTGTATAGATTCTTTAGGAAAGGTCTCTTAGGAAGTGATATTTAAGCCAAAATCTGGAAGATGATGAAGAACCAACCACACAAAGGCAAGGGAATGTTGGATACACAGAATATTGTTACGTAGACTAGAAAACCAAAATATGTCTAAGAAACACACTATTTTATGGAAACTATTCCCTCCAAAAGGAAATGCTTAGAAACCAAATGATTTCAGTTGCATGGCTTCTAGGAACAGAAGCCAAGTACTCACATATAAAATTCAGCTTCTTAATCACATTCAAGAATTGAATGCTTGGGCAAAAGGCCAACCTAGAACTAAATTCCCAGACTTTGGTTAATTATGAAAATGTCAAAGTTCCACAGAAGATCGTATAAAAATTATACATGGACTTCATTAGACTAACTTTTGGTATCCATTAGCTACTGAAATGTCTCAACAGTATGAGAAAACACAAATGAAATATATTTTAAGACATTCAATTTTGTATCCCAAAGTATATGCCACAAAGTTCACACAGTCTGCATCTAAAACAGAGGACTATTATCAAATGAAAATAAAATGCTATGACCTGCATAAATTCTGACTCTTACATGAGGAGTATTAAAAAAATAGATAAATCTATCACAGCCACAAGTTCATGGCAGCCAAATTTGGCTGTTTGAATATGTGAAGTTTCAGTACTGACATTTTCTTTGGCAGGGATGGGATCAGTTTTAAAATAAATACCAGTAAACAGCCTTCCCCATTAATTACATGTGTAACCACCAGCTGTTGGTCCAAATTAAAGACTATTTTCTTTTAGTTTTCTATACCCCAATCCCATAATCATCAAAATAACTGGAAAAACTGAAGGAAGATAACAGTAGTAAAATACTCATATATATCAACATACTCCAAACAACAGTGCAACATAATATACATGCTTTTAACACCTACTCCACATCTACTTGTAGTTTCAACTGGTAGCTGTTATATTAAAATGTACATAATACGGTACCTAGCATATTGTGGGTGTTTGTTAAATGGAATACTAAGATGAAAAACATACAACTGTATCTCTTAAGGAGCTTTCACTTCAATAAGTGTTATTTTAAGTTTCTGGAGCCAATTCTTATAAATGTAATAAAAGATGGTAAAGTCTCTTCCAGAATTTAAATAGTCCATTAGTGATCACAGACATTTTAAGAAACAAATTCAGTAAATTTACTTAAATACTGGCCAGGTGGCTGAAACTTTAAAAATATCAAATTAAATTATTAAGAAATCTGAAGTTTGGAGAAAAGTAGGGTGGAAAGTCATTGTAAAAATGGGAGAGGTAAACATGAATCATGCCTTAGTGTCTCCCAGTGAAAGACGAGCTGCAACATATGTCATTATTTGTACTATAGAAATATCTTGGCCTCCACACACAAATATCAACCCCACCTACCAAGACTAGTTTTCGATTTTTAAAATGCATTTTATTACTTTTTTGTTTTACTTAAAAATGACTTTTATGACCTAGGATAGTGTTGGATCAGATTTTTATCCTTCAATCTCACAAGTTCTCTATCATCTTCAGAGTACTCCTCTGTCAAGCCTTTCCCTGACAAATTCCCAGCAGCATTTTCCCCTTTCTTTATTCACCACTGCTTACATTTATGACTTTAGCTAGCACTGACTTAATGCCTAATACATACTAGACCCTGTTCTTTACATATATTTATTTACATATCTATAATTCATATATTGATTCATTTTGTTTTCATTTAGATCATAAAAGGCAGATGCATTATTATTATCCTCATTTTATAGATGTGGAAACTGAGAAAACAGTAGTTTAGGTGAATGGTCCAAAAGTACTCATAACAGTGAGTGGTGAAAGAGGAGTTTGAACCGAGACAAATGGCTCCTTAGCCTATGTTGTTAAATACTACTCTAATCTTTCTTTCTGACCTTTGTATTTGCATGTTGTACAGCAGTATTGTCTTTACATCTCTAGCTCCTCTTTGACACTGAGAGTTCATAACAAACTTCATAACCAAAAATTTTCTGTTTTTATCTTTGTGTCTTCAGAACTTATTATGCTATCTGGTACCCTGTAGATATGAAAAATATGTGTTGAATAAATGAATTTATAATTTAGACTGGAAGGCATTTCCTTGTCAAAAGAACATAGATTTTAAGGTTTCCATAAGTGAAATTTACCAACATGATAATGCTGCAAGATAAATTACTGCTCCTGAAGTCTTTCAAAATTTCTGAACAACTTTCTGTAAAAGTAATAAAATGTAGCAGAAGAAAAAAGTTCAATTTATCAGAATTATTTTCTTTCATTCAAAACTCTGAAAATTTTTTATATTTTGAGTCTGGCATCAATTCTTTTTTTTTTTTTTTTTAGCCTACAGCAGCCGGTATTACCAGGCGGTGTCCCATCCAAGTACTAACCAGGCCCAACCCTGCTTAGCTTCCGAGATCAGGCGAGATCCGGCGCGTTCAGGGTGGTATGGCCGTAGATGTCTGGCACCAATTCTAACTTTTTAAATTACACTTTAAGTTCTGGGATACATGTGTAGAACATGCAGGTTTGTAACATAGGTATACACATGCCATGGTGGTTTGCTGCACCCATCAACCCATCATCTACATTAGATATTTCTCCTAATGCTATCCCTCTCCCAGCCCCTCACCCCTCAACAGGCCCTGGTGTGTGATGCTCCCCTCCCTGTTTCCATGTGTTCTCATTGTTTTACTCCCATATATGAGTGAGAACGTAAGTGGTGTTTGGGTTTCTGTTCCTGTGTTAGTTTCCTAAGAATGATGGTTTCCAGCTTCATCACTGAAAACAACATGAACTCATCCTTTTTTATGGCTGTATAGTATTCCATGATGAATATGTGCCATATTTTCTTTATCCAGTCTGTTATTGATAGACATTTGTGTTGGTTCCAAGTCTTTGCTATTGGGAACAGTGCTGCAATAAACATACATGTGCATGTGTCTTTATAGTAGAATGATTTATAATCCTTTGGACATATATACAGTAATGGTATTGCTAGGTCAAATGGTATTTCTAGTTCTAGATCCTTGAGAAATCATCACACTGTCTTCCACAATGACTCAACTAATTTGCATTCCTATCAACAGTGTAAAAGTGTTCCTATTTCTCCACATCCTCTCCAGCATCTGTTATTTCCAGACTTTTTAATGATTGCCATTCTAACTGGTATGAGACGGTATCTCATTGTGGTTTGGATTTGCATTTCTCTAATGACCAGCGATGATAACCTTTTTTTTCATGTGTTTTTTGGCTGTAAATTTTTAATTTTTTTCCCCTCTTAAATTCACCATCAGTCTTAATTCTGCTCAGGAAAAGCCACTCTATTTCCAACTACTACAAGCCAGATTAGTCTTTCTTTTTCTGCCATTGTTCTTTTCTCAGCAGATTACTGGTGGCATTTTGTTGCTTTCAGCTGTGACGTACATTGTTCACTACCCAAACTAGTTGTTCTCGCTCACTTAATTGTAAGCCATCCGCTTAGTTTTTCAGCATCGTTTCTGTCTTATGTATAAAATCTTCAGATGAACTGTATCTTCTCAATTCTCAGTTATTTATCATGTAAGAATTTTTAGAAAAAAGCAGCAGAAAATGAACCAGAGGGTAGCATGAGTGCGCTGTCATGTGACATTAGATTCTGGTCCACAACAAATGACCATCAAGTGTCCACAAAACTAACCACAAAGTTTCCCTTACAGTTTTTCAGATACGGTTTCTCAACAAATAAATAATTCTGTAAGCATTTTTCCACACAAAATGTGTTTGGTGACTGCTTAGATTTTCTCAACATTCTTTCTTTCTTTTTGGCTCTTCTGTTTCTGCTGGCTGAATCAAGGATGAATAATTCAATTAAGTGAATATGCTCATACCTATACTGAAGGTTCCGATGATCTTGAAGCACATAGTATTGCTTTTTAGGTCAGTCAATGAGAGACAGAGGGTTTGAGCTGAGGCTACATCACCAAATCACAAATAATCAAATTTGTAGTAAGGCTTTAGGGTACCCCATTGAATATTTGGTTGAGAAAAGATTTTACAGTAAGTCCATAGTTCACAAAGCCTGGATGAATTCATAGACAGTGGAACTATAGAATGAATTCAATGCAATGAAAATTTGTTTGCATCATTTTTTTACCTACTAAAATACTTTATAATCTTTGTAAACCATTTAGGAAATATGAAGAAGTACAAAAGAGTAAATGCACATAAACCATAATTCTATTATCCCTAAGTCACAGTTAATATGTTAATATATATTTTCAAATAATTTTATGCATATATAAAACTTGTATAATTTTATTATTTATTTTGTTCAGTTAATATTATGAACAATTTCCTAAAGCATAAAATACTCCACTAAAAATATTTAAGTGGCTAAAAATGTTTTTTCATATAGGTTAGCTGTATGCTATAATAAGCAAATTCCATTTTTGTGTATATTTGGTTTACATGGCTATCCCCAATTTTTGAACATATTTGAAAATAACCACCATGATTTTTCAAATCAGATGCCTCTAACGTCCTGCCTCCATGTCCTAGATCTCCCTATTGATTTTATTGTTGTTGTTGTCGTTTAATATTTTAGACCTGGGAAAAGTATGAACACAGTCCCTTGCTATGACAAACTAAGCAGTCAAGCTTCCCCATTTTGGGAAAATCTCAGGAGTCAGCACATCCAGAGTACAAAGGATAAGGCTTGCCCTGGTAAAACCACCTTTGTGATCATGGTATCTCCCTGCCAACTCTCCCCACTGAATTAAGCAACAAGTGTAGTTGATAGCTTTGTTTGGGTTTCAACTCACTGTAAGCTGACATAATCTCTCCTAAAGCAGCTTTCTTTCCCTCACTCTGTGGTCAAGAATACCCAGGAATTGGCACTAATTCATGCAGAATGTAGTGGGAGTGGAGTGGGTATATAATAGAGGTAATACCTATAGAGTAGCCCTCAACCGATGAGACTTAAGCCCTCATGGAGGAATGCATCTCTCAGTTGATCCTCTAGGCATTCTTTTTTTTTTTTTTTTTTTAGATGGAGTTTCACTCTTGTTACCCAGGCTGGAGTGCAATGGCACGATCTCGGCTCACCGCAACCTCTGTCTCCTGGGTTCAGGCAATTCTCCTGCCTCAGCCTCCTGAGTAGCTGGGATTACAGGGAGGCGCCACCATGCCCAGCTAATTTTTTGTATTTTTAGTAGAGACGGGGTTTCACCTTGTTGACCTGGATGGTCTCGATCTCTTGACCTCGTGATCCACCCGCCTCAGCCTCCCAAAGTGCTGGGATTACAGGCGTGAACCATCGCGCCCGGCCAAACTAGAGGCATTCTATGGGCTTTTGAGATCTCAGGTGAAGCCAAGCCCCCGTTGCCATCGTAGTGACCTTGACAATAGATATTTATTATATTTATTATAAATTTATATTTATATTATTTATTAATAGCTTTTTAAAATTTATATTTATATTTATTATAGCCTTTTTCCCCTTCCCTTAATCCCTCCTATCCCTCATTCCAGCATCCTGGTATCACTACACAATTACAAGTTCTTGTTTCAGACTCTGCCTTGAGTGGTGGGAAGATCTAAGCAGTTCAATTCTTTAAATCTTTTTTTTTTTTTTACATTTCCTTCAATAACTTTATTCTTTACAAAATATACAAATAAATAAAACAATTCACCTTTAAAAAGTATTACCACGTGCAAGAAGAAGGTAATTCCTATCACCATTCTAAATTACCGCAATGCATCGTTTCCTCCTCCCTTATTTTTCAACTCTAGTGGTAAAGTTAAAAGACTGAATTGAAATTAAGCTGTACTATGACATCATTAGCAGGGACAGACACATAAAGTCATTTCCAAACAAGGAATGCTGAACCTCCCGAAAAGGGATGAAGAGGAGTCTACTGAGTTTTGCACTCAGGTACACTCCTCTTTTCCTGAGGAGGCGTGCCAAGGACCTGGTTGAGAATCCACACTCTCTGCTCCTGCATTTTGTATCTCTGGACGAAGGCCTAAACTTGAGTTATCAAAATAGCGAACTGGATGAGGTGATGGTAAAGACTTTGATTGGCTATCAAAAAAACAAGGTTTTGGTGATTCTTTAAATCTTTGTGAATATTATATGTTATTTCTATTAAATCGATTGCTAGATGTAGAATTGTTGAGATGAAAGCCATGAACAAAATTAAAATCAAGTATTTTGATACATAGTACACACTGATAAATATTAATTAAACAGAATACCTATTTCCTAATTACCATGTTTCTCTTCAAATAATTTATTTTTAAATTTAAAAAACTTTTAAATTCTTTTTAAAACAATTTATGTTTTATTTTAGATCAGGGGTACACATGCAGGTTTGTTACATGGGTGTATTATGTGATATTGAGGGTTTTTATATGAATGATCCCACCATCCAGGTATTGAAAATAGTAATCAACAGTCATTTATTCAATCCTTTTCCTCTTCCCTCCCTTCTCTAGTAGTCTCCAGTGTCAGTTATTGCCATCTTTATGTCCATGATAGCCAATGTTTACCTCCCACTGATAACTGAGAACATGTGGTATTTGTTTTTCTGTTCTTGTATTAATTTACTTAGGATAATGGCTTCCAGTTACATCCATGTTGTTGCAAAGGACATAATTTTGTTCTTTTTTATGCCTGTGTAGTATTCCATAGTATATATTTATGACATTTTCTTTATCCAATCCACCATTAATGGGCATCTAGGTTGATCCCATGTCTTTGCTGTTGTGAACAGTGCTGCAATAAACATATGAGCATATGTGTCTTTGGGTAGAATGATTTATTTTCTTCTGGGTATGTGCCTAGTAATGAGATTGCTGTGTCAAATAGTAGTTTCGTTTTAAGTTCTTTGAGAAATCTCCAAATTGATTTGGAGTTCAGATAAATTGCTGAACTAATTTATATTCCGATCAACAGTGCATAAGTGTTGCCTTTTACCCATGACCTCACCAGCATCTGTTGTTTTCTGACTTTTTAATAATAGCCATTTTGACTGGTATGAGATAGTACGTTGTTGTGGTTTTGATTTATATTTCTCTGATTATCATTGAGATTGAGCATTTCTCATGTTTGTGAGCCATTGGTATCTAGGCTTCATTACTGGGATGCAAGGTTGGTTCAACACATATGAATCGATAAATATGATTCACCATATGAACAGAACTAAAAACAAATACCATATAGTTATCTCAATAGATGCAAAAGAAACTTTCTATAAAATCTAACATCCTTTCATGATAAGAAGGAAGAACTTATTATGTTCAAAAGGGACATACCTCAAAATATAAGGCCGATCTATGAAAAGCTCACAGCCAACATCATAGCAAATGGGAAAAGCTATAAGCATTCTACTGAAGAACTGGAATAAGACAAGGATGCCCACTCTCACCACTCCTATTTAACATAGTACTGGAAGTCCGAGCCACAGCAATCAGCCAAGAAAAAGAAATAAAAGGCATCCAAATGGAAAAAGAAGAAGTTAAACTATCTCTCGTTGCTGACTATATGACCCTAGTCCTAGAAAATCCCCAAGGACTCTACCAAAAGACTTCTGGAACTTAAAAATGACTTTAGTAAAGTTTCGGCATATAGAATCAATGTGCAAAAATCAGTGGCATTTTTATATACCAATAATGTTTATGCTGACAGACAAATGAACAGATCTCATTTACAATAGCCACACCAAAAGATTAAATACCTAGGAATACTTTTAACCAAGGAGGTGAAAGATCTCTACAAGAAAAACTATGAAACATTGCTGAAAGAAGTCATAGATGACCCAAACAAATGGAAAAATATTCTCTACTCATGGATTGGAAGAATCAATATCATTAAAATGACCATAGTGTTGAAAGCAATCTACAAATTCTATATTATTACTATCACACCAATGTCATTTTTCACAGGATTAGAAAAAACTATCCTAAAATTCATTTTAAAAAGAGCCAAAATAGCCAATGCAATTATAAGCAAAATGAACAAACGTGGAGCTTCAAACTATACTACAAAAATACAGTAACTTAAACAGCATGGGCCTGGCACAAAAACAGACACATAAACTGTATTTCTTTAAATAACTAACTATATATGTGTGATGTTTCTATTGCCTGTAGAGGCCTATCCTAAGGATCCCTTACAGCTCAAGTGCAATACCATAATTTTTAATCCACTTTCTCCAGCTCACATCCAGTAGTTCTGTAATAACTCAGATATACTAACACTTATACTAGCTAAAGAAATAAAAATTAATGAGGCATAATTTGAGGTACTTTAAAGTTTTTATGAAATGACCATCTTGTCACTTTGGTCATCTGATATCTTCTTGTTTAATTTATTAAATAGGTTTACCTATCTGTTTAACTCTTCTCTGGGTTCTCACCAACTTATTTACCATTTGTTTTTTCTTTCCAATTCAAACCAGTTGACGATTTTAATTTTTTGTCACTTCACTTGCTCACTTTCTTTAATGCTTTTTTCATAAAATTGTTGACTTAGAAACACTAACATATATCGTTTCAATGATCATCATAATATGTTTTAAATATCTCATTATCTACTAATTACTGTACTCCTTTGTGAGGAAATAATCATACAACTACAAAAATAGGCTTTGATGTGACTTTTGAATGATAGAATTAATGAGGAGTATCTGGAAGCCCCATCTCAGGGCCAGAGTTAAGATGCTATTAAAATACCAGACAATCAGTAGACTAGCACTTGGAATTAGAGGATGAGCTTAGAAAAGATAACTCATTTCATAATTATTTGTGAAATTAATGCCTTTTTATATCCAGAATAAATGTGTAGCAATGGGATTGTTTTGGAAATAGTAATTGGATTAAAGTTAATATGATAAGAACACAGAAAATAACTACAGTATAAACCTAATGTAAATTATATAAATCACTAAACCAGTAAAAGAAGGTTAATAAGGTTTTCTTTAGTTGACTTAAAGCAATTTTAAATAAAGATGAAGAAGCACTGACAGAAGCATATCATACTGAATACTGATGACAAAGTAGTTCTGAAGCAATGAGATCTCATGGCTTGATCTTCTGTAATAAAGGTAATATTCCCAGAGCATATAACAGATTTGATTCTTGCTCGTAGGGAAAAATTAGATGGGCTTCTAATAGTAGAAAGAAACCTTGAGGAAACAATCACAAGTTAATGAAATTGATTTCTTTTCCCTAAGGGAAGGAAGTGGAAATGTCAGCAGAATTAAGAAAATTAACTTTAGGAAGCTAATTGTATCAAATCTGAAAACCAGTACGATGAATCCTTGGGCTTCTTTTAGAAAGTGGAGTTTAAGGAAGTTGGTTATCCAAAAGAACATAGTTCTACCCAGTCAAAACATAGTATGCCAGGATATTTAAAAGCCAGGAAGGGAAAGAAGTCAATATGACTACATCCAGAACTTTGGATAAAGTTGAAGGGCAAATGAGGTTATACATAATGAAATTTAGAAAGAATGTGACAAAAGGAAATAGTAGAATAAGAGTCATCAGAAATAAAATTTTTAGAGAGAATTCTGTTTTCAGAGAAGGATAAAAATCACAATTTAGGTGATATAAAGATTTTCATCATTTATTCATTTCACACATATTAATTGAGTGCCTACTATGTATGAGGCATCATTTCAGGCACTGAACATTAGCCAGAAAACAAAACAAACAACATCTCTTCATTGTAAAGTTATATTTTAAAAATATAAATATATCATAAA